ACCCCCGGGAGAAGGGGGTGGGGAGAGAGAAGGCTCGCTCGCTCACTCACCTCCCGTGGTCGTCGCCGCCGGTAGTCTGACCCGAGGAAGGCGCCGTCGCCTTAAAGGGACCTTGCACCCGGCGCCGGGAGAAGGGGGTGGGAGCAGGGGAGGGGACGGGGGCTTGTGGGGAGACGGAGACGAGGGAACCGTTGAAAGCTCGTCTCCCCGAGGGTGAAAGGAAACCTCCCTCGGGTTCCAGTGATTTTGGGGTGGATTTTTTTTTTCCCGAGGGGCGGGGGGGGCCCCGAGGGAGGGGGGCGGGGGGGCCAAGGAATGCGGCTCCGTGTACGGAGCTGGCGCGGGGGAGAGAGACTTCAACTCCCCCCACCGACCCTCTCGCCCCGCGGAGGGATACGTCTCGTCACTTCCGCCCTCCCCCTTTCGTGGTGTTTCCATTGGCTGGAGCTCGTGACACGTCACAGGCTCAGCCTAACCCCTGCCCGGGCTTCTTTTCTAGTCAAGTTTGTCTGGGCCTGCAAATAAATAAATAAATAATTTTTTAAAATAAAATAAAATAAAAAATAATTAGCGTCGGAAGCAGTATCTAAATTTTGATGAGAAAAATGGGATTTCCAAAGAAAATACTCCCCGATTCATTTGCCTGGACTTCCCAGGAAAATTTTGGGCATCTCCACATTTTCCACTCAAGGCTTGAACCTAATCAAGAGGGGACCCTCATGTTAGGCCAGATGGTGAGGCCCAATGGCACCAACGACTGCTGCTGGAACAAAGGCATCACAGTGGCACTCACTCTTCCTCGGGAGACATTCTGTCAAGTAGCAGAAGCCTTAAGTGAAGAACTTTTAAAAGCCATCTGTGCCCAGAACCCTTCTGGATTCTGGAAAGAGGTCACACACGATTGCTTATCAAGATAATTTGTGTATGGAAACTGCTCCGAAAAGAATAGACTCATGAGAGATTCTCAAGTCTAAGAAACCAGAGACTACACATCTGTGCTTTTTGCTCCAGTCAAGGCTGAGATAGATTGGCCCAAAGGAATTGATTCATCCCTTCAAGACCATACATCTATTATTTTTCCTTAAACAAAAACAAACCTCTTTTCCAAGTAGCTAAGAAATTTTGTCCTTTATTACATCCCGAGACTGTGAAAAAAATTAGTATTTTCCTTGGATATTTGAGGATACTGTTGCTCTTTAAGCAACACACAAATATTTTCTCCAAACCAGAGGCTAAATCAAAGTACTTGGTGCAAGACCGGGGAGATACAGAACCATATTTATTCCTTCTCCATGTACACCCTCCATGCAAACCACCAGACTATGAAAATAGGCAGTGGAAGTAGGCGTTTCAAATTGTGCACCCATATGTGTGTGTGTGTGTGAGAGCACGTGCACCACCACCCATTTTCATCCTCCCATTTCATACCAAAAACATGTGAGTGGTTTTAATTAGCCATTCTTAGGAAGAACTTTATTATTTGAATTGGAAGAATCACTAATCCTGAAAATACTTTCGAAGCCTCTCCAGACCTGATCTGGACCTTTGGTGGGATTATGGAATCAATCATCAAAAAATATTCTAGATGCTCTTATCCAATTTTATGCTTTCCTGCAATAATTTTATTATAATTCATTATAATGTCTTTTGTCTCTGAAATATTTTTGTCAAAGTACATTTGGCCATGCACCAAGTGCCAAATTATGCTCTCTGCCAAGGAGGTCCAGAGCCTAGCAGACTGTACTATGTACCACTGACCAATAACCATTAGCATATCATACCAAAAATGCATCATGCATTCATTCACTTATTCAACAAATATTTTGAGTATTTGCTATGTGCCAGGCACTGTTCTAGGTGCTGAGAATACAGCAACAAAGAAAACAAAATCCCTGAATTCATGAAACTAATACTCTAGTAAGGAGAGATACACAATATAAGCATAAACAAGCGGTTCTTATATCTATTTTTGAATAACAAATGGTCCCTAAACTTAGTGGTTTAGAACAACAATTTTATTATTATCCCTCATGGTTCTGGGAGGTGATTAGGCTCACCTAAGAAGTCCTCACTGGGAGTCTCATGGAGTGGCGGAGGCTGAAGTCATCTCGAAATCTTCCTCAAAAGTCTGGAAGTTGATGATGAGTGTTGGCTTGGACTGTAGCTGGGGCTGTGGGTCAGAACCGTTAGCGCTTGGCCTCTCCAGGTGGCCTAGGTTTCCTCATATCATAGTGGCTGAGTTCCAAGATTGAGTGCCCCAAGAGGACCAGGCTGAGTTTGTATGGCTTTTTGTGACCTATCCTCAGAAGTCACACAGCATCACTTCCACCACAGTTACAGGCTTGCCTCAATTCAAGAAGGATGGGAATCATCTCTCAAAGGGAGCAGTAGAAACATCACATTGTAGGAAAGGTATGTGGAATGAGAAACGCTGTGGCCATCTTGGAAAATACAATCAGCCACATATGCAAATAAATATATGTGATAGGGTGATAGGTGCTATGGGTGGGGAAGAGGGCAGGATAGGGGAATAGCGAGTGTGGTACAGGGGTGGGGGGGGTGTTGGAAAAGGCTTTGTCATTAAGGTGATATCTGAGCACAGACCTGAAGAAGGTGAAGCCAAGTTCAAGTTTTACTCTTAGTGAAAGTGAAGTCATTGGCAGATTTTGAGCCAAGGAGTGACATGACTTGACTGACATTTTTAAAGTAACACTCTGGCTGCTTAGAAAGAATAACTGGTAGGGGCAGGGTCAGCAAGCTATTGCAATTTCCAGGTGAGAGGTGATCGTGGCCTGGACCAGGGTGAGAGCTGTGGAGCTGCTCCTTCAACTGAGTGAGTTCTGCAGAATTTTGTTTATTTACTTCTCTGTAACCTATCTTCCTGTAATTTAGTTTGTGCCATGGGAGACAGTTTTGACCCATAATGGCTAACAAAATGTGTGTGAATGATGGTGCTATGCCTGCCACAAAGCAATAAAGGAAGAATATTGTGCTGAATGTTAAAATGGGAGTTTTGCAGGGACTGGAGGTGCCTTTTAGGAAAGAATTCAGGAAACAAGGGGAAAGATTAACAGATAATCAGGGGATGGAGTAAGCTCTTTGACACTGTAAAAGGAATCCTAACTGTGCCACAGCTTGGGAGGATGGGTCAACAATTGAATGACTGATAACTAGAAGAAATCAGGGGCAGAGACATTTTATAACTTCAGAGTATTTGAAGAAAACTCTACCACCTTGCAACACCGGAGCAGCATCTCAAAAAGGACTAGACAGCGAGCACTCCTGTTTCCAGAAGTGTTTCCTGTGCTAAAGAGGGAATGCCCATATTAATTTGGTTAGTGTTGGAATATTCTGTTGTCATCAGCTAACAATTTTCCAGGGTGAAGTAATAGATCTGATAGTTGTGGTCTCTTATATTTGAACCATCTTGATGAAGATGGGAAAACCAAAGCAGCAGAATAAACTACCTGGATCAAATCCTTAGAAATCAATTCACATTTGCCTCTGTAACATACTAGGGAGGGTCTGAAAGTCAGTCCAGTTTGGTGTATGAAAGAAATTGGGACCCTAATACTGTTGCTAAAAAGCTACCCAGGTCTTCAGTAGCTAACCTAGAAAAATTGAATCCTCTCCATATGGGTTTTTAAGAAAGAAGGTCAAAAGTTAATGGAGGTCCCAAGCTGAGCAGGAGAGTGTTTCTTTTTGACAGTTTATGGAAATGCTTATTTGCTTCCTTGGCTGATGGTTTCTGTCACGAGTTGAAAATTGGAACCACCTGTAGCTTGGAGAGTGTCAAGGCAGAGACACAAATGATTTCAATGTGTCTTCAAAAGTAGTGAGCCAGGGGTGCCCCCTCTGCTGTCATTTCACTAATATACAGACTCAGTCACTGACTGCACAGGTTCAGTGTGAGGCTGACCGGTGCTGGGGGGAAGAGTGGAGAGGATTGTGAGGTCAGTGCAGACAGAAAGCAGCTTCGTGGGGGACAATGCCAATTTCTTTAAAAATGAGCATCTCACTCTATAATGCACACTCAGGATCGTCAAAACCAGGAGTTCAAAGAGAGCTACCTATTTTAGAAAATGTAAGAGCTAGAAAAACAGTGGAGACATTTTCACCATCTGAGCATCTCCCAGCTCAAAAAGATTGGCAAGCTGATTGCACTGAGCCTGAGAATCTAGAGAAGGCAACACGTATGGATGGAAAGGAGGACATGGAAATACGTAGCTTGACAGGAAATCATCAAGGGCAAGTGAAGACCTACATTTAACCAGTGTCAAATACAAGGCGGGGAACTTGGAGGCTGCTGCTAGATTTTATTTTAAAATACTTTTTGCTACCTCCTTATGTTTAAAGGAGCTGAGGACTTTCCTAGGGGTTCAGAAAATTCTCAGGAGGTGAGAAATAGCTGGAGGAAGTTTTCAGCCTGGGATTCTAAAAGAAGAGTTCCTCGTGAGCTTTCAGCGAGAAGCAATTGAATATCTCTGTCTTCAAAGTAAATTTTTCAAGAAGTGCATGAGTAGCAACTTTCAGTCATCAAGACTTCTCTGTGAATTGCTGTATGATTTCATGGAAATTAATAATTTAGTTAAACTTTAAATTAAATAAATATTATTGAAGAGACACCAAGAAGCAAAGCTTGTTTCATCTAGGTTGTCACTACGGAGTTGAGCAGGTATGATTATCAAGTAATTAAATTGCTACTCAAGTGGTAGAGCTCATGCCCAGCACGCACAAGGTCCTGGGTTCAATCCCCAGCACCTTCTCTAAAAACAAATAAATAAACCTAATTACCTGTACCACCCCCTAAAACAAACAAACGAAATGAATAAATTGATTCCTTAAAACTTCACAGAAAAATGAATTGGGTTACTTTTTAGACACACTTGTTACGTGGCTTCTTCATTACAATAGACTGCAAAGTAAAATTTAATTAAAGTTTCTCTTTTTCTAGGATATGTTCTTTTTCTAATTTAGCAGTGTTTGTATTTTATAATAGTCATGAATAATTTCCAGAACGCAACTGGGGACCTTAAACAACTGGATTAATTCTTTTGAAGAACGTGAGGATTAATATCATTGTTTTACAGATGAGGAGACTAAGGTATCCTCCAGAGTTAAGTTTTAAAGTTTTCTGGTGTAGATAAGTGGTCAGATCCTTTTAGGTCTCTTCTTATTGTTGAGTATGTACAGTAGGAGTTAGAGGTTGCAAGGAAGCCATCTCCTGTGACAGCCAAGGGTTCATTTCTAATGTCTTTTCTATGTCCTGAAACATAAATGTAATAAAATCTGTAAATGTCAAAGTGCCAATATTCACCAATGTAAAATCACTTTATAGGAGGAAAATGATTTAACCTTCATTCATCCAGGAAATAATTCTCACTTCTAGATTTGCAATTTTCATGATGAGTCACGTATGAATATGAGTTTCCTCTCTCCTATACACCCTGCTTCCTGGCAGCCTCTGATCTCTGCTTCTCCTATTAAAAGAGCTTATTCCTAGTCTAGAAGAGTGAATCTTAACCTTTTTTGCATTATGAACCCCTTGAAAGTCTTTATGAAAGCTATGGATAATCTCCCCCCAGAAAAATGCACTTTTGTGCATAAGCACAAAACTTTGCAAACACTTTCAGGCTTGAAGCCCACTCATGTGCCTGTACATGAACCCCAGGGAAGGATCCTCAGGCCCTGGGATCAATGGACAAGATGCTTAACACCCTGTCTTCCCAAAGAAATGATACCCTTTCAATAATTGTATGAACACATGTGCCCAAAGAACTTGAAATTCTTCTCATTCTGACGAGTGGCTTATTATTAATATTATGTATTATATATTATAAATTATTACATTATTATTGCTACTGTCAGATTTTATATATTCCTTTATCTTTGCCCAAAATATTCTTCAATATACGGGAAAGTCCAGGATCCTGTAAGACCTGAAAGATGATCAGATGGTCTAGCTCCCTAAGCTGGTTGAATTGATACCACTGGAATTGAGGAGGCTTTCTCTGATAATATGGTGACCCTCCTGGGATGCCTGGCCCCACTTCACCTGATTTGTTGGCTGTGCCTCATTGAATATTCATGCCCACTTTGCACTTCCCAGCCTCCCTTGCAGCTATTAGGTAGGGCCTCAAGATTGAGTCCTGGCAGATGGGAATACAAGTTTAAGTGATGGGTGACTTCCAGCCCACTTAAAGCACTCAGAGGTTGGTGTAGCTCTTCTCTTCCCATTTAGTGAAATGGTAGAACCACAAGATGGAAGCAGCATAGATCCCCGGATCACCCCAGGGAGGAGAGCTGAACTAGTGACTTTCCCCAAATACACTGGATTTACCAGAACAACAAACCTTTATTGTGCTCAGCTGTAGAGATTCCAGGATTAATGTGTAAAATCAGCATAGCCTAACTACACTGACAAATACATTGGTATAAAGATTGAATTAAAAAAGAAAGAAATTACCCCAGAACAGTTTTATGGCTAAGAATGGGAGTCAGCGTGGTTAACTGGATGGAGGTTGGTATTACCCACATTTCAGGATTATTGTATCACAGATATGAGAGTGTATAAAATGCCTAGGATGGTACCTGGCTTATATTAGTTACCCCATAAATGGTGGCTTTTATCATTCGTTCTTAAGATACCCTACACCATAGTGTAAGTATTGTATGCGACATGATAAAACTTGACTTCACTCATGGGTGATGGGCTCCCTATTCTGAGTCTTTCTCAGATTTCTCACCTTTAGGCATCTCTTCTAAATAGTCTGGGTGTTGGGCTCAAGCATCTTTTATACAATTGCTGGAAGCAATCACTTCCAAGATATAAGCAATATATTGTCTTAAATCCACCAAACATTTAGTAAAATCCTATTATTTCTTCTACATATTAATCAACAAAACAGCGTAATGGGTAACATAGTATCACCAAGTGATAGTTTGTGTGATCCAGACAATGGAAGAATATGACATATAAAATGATGCTGTGTGAAACAGACAGTACATCCTGGGAAGAAAAAGGAAAGCTCTGTGCAGGCTCAAGTCTTCAGTGAAAAGGTTTTGAAAGGAGTAGGGCTCAGATTTTTGTCTTGAAGCACAGGTGGGAGGGACATGGATAAGTGAGGGAAGGGAAGAAAAGCATTCCAAATGAGCAACAGAATGATCAAGGTACTGACCAAACCTGTAAAAGTGAAATAAAATTCCAGGTTGAATCACATAAAATTGATGGGAGTTTTTTGTAGGTAAAAAAAAATAATCAACTATTGGCCATTTCATATTGTTTGACTTGGTAAAAGTGGCATTTGGGGAGTGATACACTGGAAGTTTCAACTATACTGGTAGTTTTTTTGTTTTACTGAGTGGTAGGTACATAGGTTCCTTGTATGACTTCTTATTTCTTGTGGTTTTTAAATATTTCACAATTACCTTATGAAAATAATTTAAAGACAAAAAATAAAACCAAAAGAAAAGAAAAAAAGAATAAAACAATTTAAAGAAAAGCAAAACATAAAGTTAAGTCTCATGAAATAATTGAAACCACCCCTTTAGTTAACACACATTCTCTGGATGAAAATAACACTTGGTTTTCTCAGCACTCCACGACTGTCACCCTCTTCCCCGGCTTTTCTCCAAGTGTATCAGGGGACAGCAAGGCTTACGCAACATATGACAAAGGAAGACAACACAGAAGCCCCCATGTGCAGTGTTCTGTGACTCCTCTGGCCTTTGGGGCAACGTCCCCTCTCCACCTGGCCACTGCTTGCCCTGCTGGTGTCTGTAGCTGAAATCTGTGGTCCGAGATCGTGTGGATATAACTCATAAGCTGGCCTCTCAGGCTGCTCAGGCCTCGTGGCTCTCCCTCAACCTCCCCTCAGCTCTCTGACTCTACAGGTCCTACTGCCCATTGTCTATAAGGCCCATGTGGCCATGACCCCGGAGGGGAGGGGGGAGGTTCCCTCTGCAGTCTTCACTACAGCATCATCTGACCCCATAAGGTCACCCCTCCAGCAAGCTCTCAGCCAGACATTCAGACCCTGTGGCTCTCATGGTGGCTTTCCCAGGAAAGCTGGACCTCAGGGCCACCTGCCTGACTGCACGTTGACCCAGCGTGCTATGTCCTGGGCTCCTCACAGGGTCCCAAGTGGGACTGGTCCCTGCTGTTCCCTCCAACTGTATGGTGCACCTCTGTCCTCTCTAGACAGAAGCCTGGAGAGGAGAAACTGGCAGTTTTCCCCTTCTCTGGATTTCTCTCACCCCCTTCTTCTTCCCATTATCCCTCGGGATCAAAAATACAAGCTCCCCTGCCTTCCTCCACTCCGCGTCCTACCGCGGAGAGCAGGCGTCACCGCCTGGCGGTCGTGCCCCACGGGAGAACTAGCTCCCTGAGCTCAGCTCCCCAAGCTGGGCTCTTCAAGGAATTACAGAAATTTTGTTTTTAATCTTAAAAGGAATTTAGGAAATCTTCTTTCAAGCCACTAACTTGGCTTAGAAAGTCCTTGTCTTGCTATAAAAATCCTATGTTGAATGTCAGAAGCCAAATGTATCAGTATTTGCCCCCATTTCTTCTGTAACAAATCCTTATTTCCCCCAGGGGGATGGATGCCAAAGGCCAGCTAAGGATAAAGTCATTTTCTCAGAAAGGGAAAAACGAAAGCAGGCCATTTTTCAAAATATTACTTTTCTAATTGCACTAAAATTCTCCCCATCCCCTGTTCCTCTCCTTCCTAGATTCCAACAGCTGCCCCATGAGCCCCAAGACCCCCATGGGTCAAGCTCCAAGATTTACTGCCAGGGTTGATACTCAAAATGCTGAACAACTAGCTGAACAGCAACCCTGACCCCTAATGCACATGTGGAGGAAATAAAACCAGTTAAGCACGTTCAGAATGTTTGCTTTTCCTCGCTCCCAAAGCACATCCGTGTACAGCTTTGTGAACAGTTTACCCAGGAGCTCCCCTTCCTCCATCCATGTTTGCAATGACCCCCTCCTGCCTGCTAAACAAGATCCGTGGAGTGTGTCTGGTGCACTTGAGATGCCAGTTAACAAGGCATGACTGCAAGGAACATAAACAATCTCACTGATACGCCTTTTAGGCAAGAGGTCTTTGGAGGAAAACGCTGAGACCCAACACTCAGGGAGTCAGAGAAAAAAAGTGAGAGATGTCAGTGAAGCAGCTAAACAGCCGTGCTGAACACACACTAGCTTGTCACTTAACCCCTCTAAGCTCAGTTTCTTCAACTAGGAGATAGGGTTATTAGGAGAAATCTCTGAACCTAATGCACATAATTTGCTTAGCAGAGAAAAATGCTGAGTAAATGTTAGCTATTGATATAACTAAATAATAATTATTATTACTATTTTATTGTTGTTGTTATACTGGGCCAATGACCCACCATTGACAGTGAGAAGTGTTTTCCTGCCGTCAGCATCCTCACCCATATATACACGTGGGCCTTCTGATCCAATTGCTAAACTAATGAAAATGGCAAGAATGAAGTGAGTGTGTGTAATGGGGGCAAAGATAGAAAATTCAGTCACAAACTGCCGCCCTATTAGCACAAAAGGCAGCTTCCCCTACTGAGAAGGGATGAAGTCAAATGCAAGCACTTGAAGCTTTCATATGACCTATATAGGACAATAGAAATTTTTAAATAAGCATTAAAGGAAAAGGGAAAATTATTTATTTTAAAATAAACATAAATAAGAATAAAATAGATCCCCAGGACTACTTGACTACATGATATTCCAGCAATCCATGCTTCCTGGGACTGCTCTGCAGACAGTGCTTTCAGACACACATGGAGCATGTCCACGGCTCTGGGGTCACAGGGTAACAGAGGAGCCACAGAAACAAGGGGAGCTTGGCAGAACTGCCTTCATATTTTAAGTTATAGCTTTCTTTACTAAAATAATAGCTTTAGAGAGACAAATTATTCACAACTATTAATAGCAATGTTGAGTTGGGAAGATGATAAGCAAGAGGATAATTAAATCTGGACTACTCTTTCAACAAAATATTGTCAATATAGAGGAATAAATTAAATGACTTTTCAAATCTTTCTAATCCAAGCGTCCTAAAATAATGCCTTGTCTAGTGCAGTGGTTTTCAAATATCTTTTGACCACAACCCACAGTAAGAAAGTTGCCGATGGAAGCCAACTCCCCAAAACGTCTACCTCTCTACTTGGTACATGCAAACAGACAATATTCTCTCGTAATAACTGAGTTCATGAAAGAATATTGATCCATCCTATGTAATTTAAAAAGTTCTTTTATTCCAGCTGCTTCCTTTTCCTTCCTTCCTTTCCTCTGTTCCCCTCTCCCTTCCTAACACTCCTTGACAAACTGATTTTGCCACTCACAATCTGAAAAATAGAGGTCTAGGAGATTTCCCTAATCATTAAATATTTCTGTAGGTTTGTTTACCCAACTACAGTATGGATAGAATTCAGCCAACCGCCCAGAAGAGCAGTTTCTAGGTTTGACTTTTATCCCCAGGATTTGAGAAGTCATTCCCAGAAGACCCTGTTTTCCCTATAACGGAACATAAGGATTTGGGAGCCGGGGGAGAAGAGACAGATACCATAAGAATCAATAGTACGAACTGCTAAGTCTGAAGACAAGAACCATCTGTATAGTGGAACCTATTTTATACTAATTTTTAAAAATCTCCATCTTAAATATTTAGCAGCAGCATCATTCACCTTTTACAATTTACCCAACAAAACTCTAGTTTGGAGGCCCAATGATTCATTTTCACGGAAGAGAGACCTCCTTTTTTAAACGCCAGGTCCCCCAGCACCCCGACCCGTCTCTAGCCTCGGGTAACTTTTCCCTCCAGTTTGGTGGAAGGTTACGTTAGAAGAAAATAGTCCCTACCGTCTAGAAACTTTTCAGGGGGAAAGAGGACGTTTGATGTGCGGGCAGGTGGGCAGGACGGGCCGGTGCAGCGGCAGCGGCGAACGCCCGGGGCTGGGGGCACGCGGGTGCGC